TTCAAAAACTGACGACGGCATAGGCGGGCCCTGTTTTTTGAATCCTTATTCTAACGCAGTCAACATGTTCACTTGCCCATACAGCTGTGCAACAAAACGTCCCAGACTGTAGGATCAAATGAGTTCAAACAAGTGTCTCCTTACGTTTGGTGGATCGTTTCTATTACTGTTGTCAAATTGTTATATTGATGGTTGTGGTGACCTTACATAACGCTCACTCAATTACTTGAGCTCAAAGTCGTCACAATCTTGATAGCAATATGAAAGAATTAATTATGGCTCCGTCTTGCACAAAGTCGAGATTGGAACAACGTTTCGATGCTACTTATCGAATTCGTGGGAGAATCCCATAATGTCACCGAAAAGTAAGCAATACAGCTAGCTAGCCCCCTTGTTTTCGTAACTTCGTCTTCGGTCATTTAGAATTAATTGTGTTCTTATGAATTGCAATCAAACGCGCTAAGTTTATTAGATGAGGAAGAATATCATTATTTGACCGGTGTTGCGGAGCACATGGTGAGAGAAGAGATTAGGTCTGGAAATCTACCATAACCTTTCTTGTAACGTCACGTTATCTTGTCCTGAGGTGATTGACGTGATAGCCAGTTTCGTCTCGTAGGTTGAAACGTGGAGGGTGAGGGCGGTTGTCCAGGACAACTGGAATGCGTCAAGCATCATTTTTTTTCGTCTACATATCGATAGGTTCATGAGTATGATTGCCATCGTTTGTATTGTTGCAAACTACTGCATCCCGACTTATTGTGGGGATCTTTGCGGATTATTGTCAATCTGGAGTCCGGTAACAGCCGCGTGGATTAAACGTGCGCTGGCTGTTGTCATTTTACACCCGGTGCCCGAAGGAGAAGCTATGAGCAAATTTGTTTGTTGTCTGCCGTATTGTCAAATCTTGCTCTCTCTCTCTCAATGAGTTTCGTGATCAGTTTACCCTCCCCCCCCCACCCCTCGCGTCGCGTCGCATTTGGACCATATGTATGATGTTGAACTGCAACGCATCGCTTACCTGACCTTCTGTCGCCCAATTTATCAGGCGGATATAAGTCAAAATACTTGTTAATATCTCTGTATCGGAACGTTCACTCATAATCGAAATATCCATTAGATTGATATATGGCCCCTTTGCAACTCCCGTCCCTTTGTCTCCAGTGGTGCGAACAGGATCCCAGATGTCGTCGCTTGCAACTGACCGACCTACTCGTAGCTCCAATGCAACACTATATGAAAATTCCCCTATTGCTGGCCAGCATACGTCGATACACGGCCGAAGTGAATGAGCAAGAAGTGCTCACATCCTGTTTGAACAAAGTGGAGAACTCGTTAAGTGAGTTCAGATTTGATCGGCCCAATTATAAATCATATGCCAATAGTGCGAATAAATATGCCAAGCACCAAAGGAAACCTAATTAATTTGACAGATTGTCCATCAGTTAACAATTATTGCGTTATAGTCTTGGTCCGTAATAAATGACTACCGTGTCAGTTATATTTATGATTATGAAATAAACGCCAGTAAATCGCACAAGTCAAACCTACTTGTGATAAATGTCTCCCAACTTGCATAAAACAAACTGGTACCGAACTGACGATGTACTGTTATCCATTAATTGTTCTTCAGGGTTTATATCGTGAGCTTTATTAACATTGTCCGCATGAGTCGGCAATATCTTGATGCGTATTATCCGTTCTGGAAACCGTTCATTTTTAATCACGTGTACATGATGAAATCAAAAGGTAAAGGAATTTTACGAACACAATTTATACCTATTGTTCTGTCAGAGAAGCCTGTAACAAGGGCAAAGATAGATCTGGGTTTTTCGGCACTTCTCATCAGGCCAATATAGTACACAATCAACATCTAGACACACATAGAGTGACAATCCGTAGTATAAATAAGCAGAGTTATTGTGATGATTGATATTGGGGACTATGTCCAGATTAACCAGTCAAGGAAGAGTCACACTGTTGTGTCTGTGCCTGAATCTCACCGGTGTTAGACCCCGGCAGTAGTAGGGTCTTGGGAAGCTGTTTTGCTACCAGAGTATTGATTGATTTAGTCTGATCACGATTGCTTTGGTTGGGCACAGAACTCTGTGTCTCATCCCTTTTGATCGATTACATGCTACTCGGTAGATGACATTTCGCATCAGCTCATGACCCATGTCGAGTACGTGAGCCAGGATGGTTTTAGTCGCATTTTTATTGATGCTTTTTGATAGCCAAGCTGGACAGTGTTCTTGAATCCTCTCTGAAAATCGTCTGGTGGTCGAACGTATTGCGCTGCATAGCAGCAGGTAGAAGAGTAAACACAAAATGAGGTAGATGGACTAGGTAAGTTGTTTTTGAGTTCTAACTGCAGTAAAGGCTTCGTAGTAAAGGAGAAAAAGAGTTTAGCAGCAAAGTACGTACATTCGAGGGCGTCGTATAGTGGGCAAGTTAACTATTGCCAGTTAATTATTCACTATATGTTCCTCAATTATTTCCACGTTTGTTATGGCTCCTAAGGAGGACAGTTTGTCGTCCATGCTAGACCATTCTTCCCAAATTGGTTCATCCAACATTTGACATGTTAACAACTGGCATATGTTACAGCCCACATTTGAGGTCCAAACAAGCTGAATGACACCATTGTTTACGCTCACTCGGCCATATCTCCTTGTGGCGACCAATACACACGACAAGTTGTGGATGATGCAAAAACCTCACTCACCACTCAACCCTTTGTCATCATCGCCCTTCTTTTTTGCGAAACTCATCCATTAAGAATCGCTGGAAGATAAAATGCGATGGCTGAAAAATTTCGAACGGCTCCAGGAAATCCAGTCGCAATTGATCTGGCCATCCATATCGGAAATGGAACCGCGGGTGTTCATACCGGAATTTCTACGGCAGAGTTTATGTAGACAACCGTGCGAGCGACTGATAGCGAATCCAAAACGGCAACTACTGCACGAGGGATTCCTCACATTTAGCGGTAAGTAAAATACTCAACCTGGATGTCACAGATAATATCCATTTTCTTTTTGATTGATTGATTTCAAATTGCATTCGTTTGTACCGTCTAAGTTGTTTAGTTCAATTGACCTGTTTAGGTCACCTAGATGATATACAACTTCCATCTAGGTGAAACATACGGTAGATAGGATGGGAAAAGCTACTCTTTTAAAACCATGAAAGTAGACTGTCCATTCTGTCCGTTGGTTAGTAATAGTAGAACCAGATTCACCAATAAGTTCAAGGTATTGTGAGTAAATGACTGACAATTTTGACCGCGTAGGACAATGTCGTATAATCGCATAATTATACTTTGCTATCGTAACCATTCTTCGAACAAAAATGCGTTGCTTAAAGATTTCACATCCATTTCATATCAAAATTATATTCCTGTGGTAAGAAGTAGAACTGGTAAGAAGGCATGCTGTGCAGGATCAGTTGCGGACTGTGTCCGTCGAAACCGCCGTTGGATTCCAAATTCCACTGCGATAGGGGTCATCCTTAGGGGGGGGGTGGCTTGCTATTTGACCGTGCTACTCACTTACGCCAATGCTCGATAGATTCCTAGTCGTAGACGGGAATGACACACATTCATTTGTGTTGCTGTTGCATGTAGCCGAACTTAGGCTACCATACGTTGCTCGCCTCCACGAGACACCAATTTCCAATAAGAGCGAATCAAGATTGCCTCGGGCATCGGTCCCCATCCTTCATGGCAGGTTTAAGAACTAGTCACAATTCCAAACCGGGCTGATTAACATTGATCATTTTTATATGTCGCCATTACAAAAAGAATTGCCGCATACGTTTACTATAGTCTAAAGACCAATTATCCTGAGGTTGCATTTATCCCCTACACTGTTGCCATTTGGTAAATTTCACGTCACTGGCCAGAGATCCGTGGTCATGTATCCAGATGGCCATTAGCTCAAATGGCGAAGCATGGCATCATGTTATTTTGAGGTAGTTTATCACATACAAAATAAATAACAAATCATGAGGATAAACAAACTTCAGACTATAAATGTTTAAATTATGCACCATATTAACGAGGTTACAAGTCTCAACATGTTTTGATGCTGATACCTGCTATTCTGCGAGTGCTTGGAGAACAGACATTATGTGCATCTCACGCAAACAAAAGAATTGTTTTTGGCTTCAGAAGTTCATTCGTTAAAGGAACAAGTTGTTGCCCCGCTTTCTGGGGTTTGCTTCATGAGAGTTAGAATGGTTGCACCAATCGACCTCGCTGTGTTTGCGAGTCCCAAATAATCTCTTTTTTGGTTTGGACTACATTTGACTGTTGTGTATTTGATTACCGTCTTTCGGCTACTCATTTTTGATTAACTTGGTTACAAAAAGAGAGCGCCAGGCGGTACGCATGAGCATCCCGGTTGACCATAATGGATTACGCAAAAACTTTGATTTGGCTCATTTCACAACAGTAACCAATGTTCGGAATCCCTAACCTCGTTGCATTCGCACAATGTGACACGGACGCTGGGGGCGGGGCGCGTGTTCAACTATTCATCATCTATCGGGAATTGTCGCAATCTTTTCCGATTAATTAGGAGAACAAGTCCAAAAAAGCAAGCGTAAATTAGGTAATTGAGGGGTCCGAGGACACACATGATCCATATTCAGCAACGCCGTCTAGATCGATGGGCAGAACATGTTAAGGCTCTGTCCAGCTAGCCCTCGTCAGCACAAGACCTCCCTACACCCGGATTCAACTATGCAAATACTGTAAGTTGACATCAGACCTCCATTTGAACTAGAGGTTACCTGAGAAATAAACTATCTCAAAGTGTATAAGGCTTCCGAACCCAACAGGCTGTCCTCTTCGGTCTTTAGGGAGGGAGGTCTAGCCTTGATTTTGGAGTTGAGAAAACTCCTGGGTTCAGTGTGGGAAAAGGAACAGATTCCAACTGAATGGTGTGAATCGGTGAGCATACCGATTTACAAGAGGGGCGACAAATCCTCTTGTGAAAACCACAGAGGAATTAGCCTAATTAACATTGCCTCTAAACTTCTTGCCGGGATCGTACTCCGTCAATTTTCTACTGCTCGTGAAAATTGCACACGTAAGAACCCGGCTGGTTTAAGACCTTGTTGAGGTTTTATCGACCACATCTTTACTGTTCGTCAAATCCTAGAACACTCTTTTCTTAGACCCACAATTTTCATCTTCCTCGACCTGAAAGCCGCTTTCGACTCAGTCGACCTCTCTGACCTCTGGTGCTATCTTTCCATGAAGAGTATGCTCGAGAAGTTAATCGCAATGTTATACCATAATAGCCGAAGCCGAGTCCAAGCTTACGCCACGTTTTTACCCCAGTTCACCAAGGAAAGTGATGTTCGATAGGGTTGCCCTCTCTCTCTATTTCTATTTAACTTTGTTATAGATTTATTTCTTGAAACAGCCCTATCCTCGTGCAGGTATAGCGGAACCGATTTACTCTCAGGTGGAAGACTGTCTGATTTAGAGTACATTGTTCTACTAAGTGAAGCTTTTCTGGATAGTTTGAGTGCTAGTATAGCAATGTTCGGCATGCGTTTTGTACCTTCAAAGTGTAAATTCCTGCTCCAAGATAGAGTCGGTCCAGTCCCCAGCCTTACCCTGACCGAGGAGAAAATAGACAAGTCTTGCTAACTGGGCAGCTATATCCCACCAGGCGGACGTATCACAGATGAAGTGTCGATGCGGATACAGAAAGCTCTTTGGAATTTGCCAACTTGAGACATCTGTAGCGCCGTCGCGATATCCGGTTGTCTTTGAAGAGTCGAGTGTGTGCTGCCGCAGTTCGGCCAGTCCTGCTTTAAGGCGCAGAGACTTGGCTTCTACGGGGACAGGATACAAATAGATTGTAGTTGTTTGAACACCGCTGTCTACGTAGCATTGCACGAGTGTAGTGGGGCAGCCGGACGAGCAATACTGAGATTTAGGTAATCGCGTTTGTCCACTGGAACAGGTAGTCAACCTCCACAGATTACGCTGGTTGGGGCATGTGTTACGCATGTTACCAGATAGGTTGCTACGGCGAGCGATGCTTGGCGAGGCAGGTGGCGGTTGGAAGAAAATAAAGGGCGGTTAAGCTAAGACCTGGCATGAGGGTATGCAAACCCGGAATAGGAGACTGGCTCACATAGGACCCATTAGGCTCCCTGGCTGGGGATCCAGAGATCATGGTCACCGGTGGTTAGAGACACTGAGCCATATGGTTGGATGTCGCAAACAGTGGCGCTCATGCATCTACTCATTATTCTTGTAACTTCAGTCTATGAAAATGTGCTACCTTCCGCCTAAATCTGCTCTCAACATTCTGCTATTTTATCCAAATGGGCAACTAAAAGACAGCAACCAAAACGGGCGCACGAAAGTGCATGGTTAATGATTGTAACAACTAATCCATCATCTGCATTGTTCATGGCGAGCACTTTACTTTGCCATCAAGCATTTCATCCCTCGCAAGACAGTTGGACGTTACAGTGAAATCAGAGGTGGTTCAAGTTGGCAACTGCTCATTGAGCCTCCTCGTGTGCCCGCCAAAACCTCAACAGTCAAGTTTCGCTCACCCAGGTGAACGTCTATTCTTAGTTCGGATAGGGTTTCTCAGTCGGATCATCAACCTCATTTACCCTTAAGCCACACTGTAGTCGGGACTATATATCGCTCTGCCCGATTTTAATCCCGTCTTGATTTTGTGTGTAAGTCAGGGGAAGGTATGAAATGACTGTTGCCGGCCCATTCATCACAGGGAACGGACAAATTCTGTTGTGTTTTTTTCCAATCATACATGTGTGCTCATTTCAGGTTTGCAAAACAAACATGGTTCACCTGTCCACGAATTTTTCTAGCCATATATATATATATATCTTTCCGGCCAGCACGCGTGAAATGGGTTTGATGAACGAAATTAATCACTTCAGGCCTGTGGACGCAGCAGACCAGACAGGGAAACTTGTTTTTGTCAATAGGGAACATTTTTGATGCGTTTTATAACCCTCTAAGAGGCGTAGGAGGAGGATAAAACTGAACGACCAGCGTTATATATGAGCAAAGCATGCTTATAAAATGATAAATTTATTTATATATAAATCATACACACCATCAACAGTTTATGTTAACATCACTACCAAGCTTATCGCCATGATTCGTGTCATCCAAGTTTTACATGGAACAATTCTCATTTTCGTGGTCATTGTCAACGAGTAATCGGTTGAAATATAATAATCGTAAATTCTTACACATCGCACGTAAATGTTTAAATCACGTTGGGAATGCGAACGGACGGCTTGAACCTGGGGTCATGAAATTTCACCGTATTATGAGCATCGTTTGAACCGTAGCGTCTCGTTTACCAGATTGGGTACTAAAGAACCGTGCAACTAGTCTATTANGTCTATTACAGATAACACAGGACGTGATGTAGAATCACCGGAGTGACATTTTCGCGGAGACATTTTGTTGAATCAGAATGTTTGAGAAAACCGATCTACTCTGTGCTGATCATAACGTTTTTCTATTGTTTTATCACTCAATTAACACAAATTAACTCTCGTTCTGCCCCAAACTGAAACTGTGAAGATCGTGGCTATCAGGAAAGTTC